ATTTATGTGCTTCGAAAAAAAAAAAACTATATATATTTTTTGATTCTGTGGATTTATACCGCTCGATTGGGACAGCTAATGTTCACATGTATCACAAGTACAATATTGTTTGGTTTACCGTCGCGTCCGTACATGCCCGAATTCTCCGAGATTCTTTACAGCGTCGCGATACGACGCCGGCCATTTATTTTGATATCAAGTTTCTCGCCGGAGAGGCTTCCCGCGGTGAAGCTGCTATAGAAACGAGGGTGCAGTCCGTTTTATCGCGTTCGAATCTCGATTGCTTAAAGCCGTTAACGTAGTTACGTATTTTACGATGGGAAAAGGAAATAACGATCCCGGGTACTTTCGCTTGACTTGTGGCTTACCTTTACTACTGACCGTCGTTATTTTTATTCGCTGTCGCGAGCGATACCTCACAAACGCGATCGCGAACTACGATACGGCGACGATGAAAAGCGACGTGTAAACTTATTAAAAAAAAAAAAAAAAAAAAAAACTCATCAAAAAACAGCTCCGTAAATTATCAACACTTTAATGAACGTGAAACGCGGCGACTTTATAAAAAATAGAGAGCTTATTAAACGCTTATTAAAATCCGTGTGTTTGTAAACCCAGAAATAAATTTCATTAAACTTTTGCATTACATGTTATCTCTTTAATTCCGCATTACTAATTTGCATTTAACACGTGCACAAATTCAAATTGCTACTTTTCAAAAAAGTTGTGCACAAAATATGCGCTTAAAGTTGCAAATATGCGTGCGAGAGCAAACAAACGTTTATAAAAACAATTTGTGAAATATTAAAAAACATTCTTCTATACGCACATATTTATTACGTATTTTATTTATTTGTACCATTTTCAATACTATCGAGTTAGTGAGTCTCAAATTGTTTTAAGTGTTGAGCTCTTTGAAACGAATGTTAGTTTTTCAATCGGAGGTAATAACTTGAGTTACTCGGCAACTGCGAAATCTGACACCAGATTTTTTGACGCGTAGCCGATTACTATATTGAATTTCCATATACACACAAAATAGTCTCTCACACATAGATATAAACACGTGCGCGCGCGCGCGCACACACACACGCACACACTCGTATACGCTTTATAAAACCTTTGCTTGAACTGTAAAAATTCGAACTTTTTTTGATATTAAAAAATAGTTTCGCAGATATCTAGCCATTACATTTATTTTTCTCTCTCGTGCGTTCGTAAAAATATTGCACCTTAAATAACGCGTGCACAGCCAGCGTTAAAATTTTTCTAAAAGTAAAAATACCGAATATTCGGAGGAATTCCCCCGAGCAAGGAATTCGCATTTCGATTGCGCCGCGTCGTCCCTAGCGAGCTTTAAATTCCGCCTCAAAAGTGCATAAGTCACTCGCGTCGCAACGTCGCCTAAAAGAAACGCGTAAAAAACGATCGAAGGCAACCGCCTCGCGTAAATAATTTGTCGCGCGTTCGTCGTGAGGTAAGACGCGGCGAAGAACAAACAGCAGGAAGGATCAATTTCCTTCGACGACGACGACGGCGATGGCACGGTGCGACGCTTTTTATTTTTTACGTGATTATCTCGTGTATCGAGTGCCGAAAGTGAAAGCCGATACTTCTTTGCGATCGTCGTTTCTGAATCTGCAGAAAGCAACCTGGTCCGCGCTCGAGTGCGGACTAGCGTAACCAGTACCGCGCGCGCGGAGATTGAATTATTTTTCTCCCGGTATAATTTCGCCATAAAATAAGACCAGTGCGAGTATGCGCATCCGTGCGCACACACATACACGGACCCACTCACATAGACGGACCCATACAAACCCACTCGTTCGCGGCATCATCTCTCGAGAGAGGAGCGATCTCACTAACTCTTCGTTTCTTTCTTGCTCCAGCTGACTTTCGCCTACGCCGTTTCTTTCTCTCTCTTCTTCTCTCGCCCTCGTATCACTACATCTCACCCCGCGACGAGGCCACTCGAGGCGGGTAACGCCGCTATTTCCCCACCTTTCCCCCCCACGTCTCCTTATATTACATTCTAGATACGGTCGCGAGGATGATGGTGGTGGAAGCTGAAAATTCCTTTCCTCTGCTGTTTCTGTCAGTGAATATCTTATCATAATACCGCTGGCACGGCTTCCACAAGGTCCTCGGACCCACCCGCGCGAGCTATCACCCTCTCTCCGATCTTCTCGACACGCCTAACTCTTCGGGCTTTCGTCCGCAGTTTCGCGACTTGTTCCCGACCGTTCGGTTGCGAAACGACTGCGAAAAATCCAAGTGTATATACTTTTTGACGGAATATCGCGCACGTCGTTCGCCCGCTGTCGGCACCAGCTTGCAGTCGATGGCACGCGGCTTTCTTCCCCTCGTTCAATGCAGCCGCGATGCAACGACCGCCGGATGCTGCCGCGAGCTCCGGGAAAGCATGACTCGGCGATGAGACGGTATTTGCAAACTTTGACTTCGCGCGTGTTTCGATATTGCGCCACGTGCCGTAAGTACGCGATATCAGCGAATGTTGTTCACGTAAACTTTTTCTTTGGATTTTTTTTTTCTTCTCTTCCCTTGCTCCCGTTTCCCCGCGCGTCTCTCTTTCGCGTTACACGCTCCACGAGAGAGAAATGGCTCCTCTTACTTATAAAAGTGTGTAGCGTCTCGTAATATTTCCCGCTTCGATTTGCACTTTTTTCCCGCCCGTATTCGCCGGCTCGATTTTACGGCGCTAGCCCCGGTGGAAAGAATCGCCGGTACTTTCGTAAAATAAAGCCCGGCGCATTGTTCTCGAGCGAGCAAGAGCGATGAATCCAGACTCTTTTATGACGGAAAAATTGGACAACTCCGGAGATCAATTATGTAATTGTTCTCGGAAAGATGGAAAGGTGATGTACGAAAATCTGCGCGCGAGAAAACTTGCTCGAGGGAGTTTTGCACGTTCTTTCAGCATTAAACAATGAGATTTTCACAGAATGACATTCGCGCGACATTTCAACCAGTCAAAAGGAAAAAATAACAAAGAGACTTGGTACGTCGTTTTTCGAAGACTAAAAAATAGTGGCAAGTTCTTTTTTGTTTTTTCGCTTGTTTTCGGTTAAGCCTTTAGGACAGCGCTATAAGCTCGTCTATTGACTTCAATCCCGTCTATTGAGTGTATAATTTTCTTACATATATATATACTATATATGTTACCATTTGATATTGTATTTTATATTCAGTAAAAATTTGTTGTTAATATTCTGGTAAAAGTGAAGGCCGATGCGAGGAGAAGTACCGAGTGATCGTGTATTGATAACGTCGATTTATTGAAAAAACCATTTGTTGTTGTTGTTATTGTTATTATTATTATATTGTTATTGTTATTATTATTACCTTCTCTCTGATAAATTTGTATCTGTTATCTTCGTGTTCATGATTTGCGCATAATATATACGTGCACATTGTAAGCCATGATACGGTCACATCACTTTGTGTGCGGCTATTTGCATTAGACACGAATACGTATATATATATATATATATATATATATACACACACACACCTGAACACACATACGCGCGCACGGGTTTATTGCGGGCTACGGTAAATTCACGCGGGGGGGAGGAGAAAACCGCGAACGAGGTATTCACAATATCTTTTAGATTAACGCTATTGTGGTGAAGAATTCATCAACGCCTCTCCATAGTTGGCGTTTTGATGAATATTCATTATAATATTCCTCATTTATATCGATCTTGCTCCGCGCGATATTCTTATGCATAGGAACACACAAACCCGTCGGCGCCATCACGATCCATGTCAACGGGCTGCAATTTGGCGGAGCTGACAGGAAATTAAAACTATACTTCACCGTTCGAAACACAAAATACGGCATTATACGCGTCAACAAGCCGTTAATCGCCGCTATTGCGTCGTCACGTGCGTTTTAACGAGAGTAACGAATCATGGACATCGAACCTGCGCGCGCGTTTGCTTCGAGTGGCATAAAATATTTGTCAAAGTAGCGCGCGCGGCGCGTTTGCACAAGCCAAATCACGTATATATAATAACGATTTATCACAAATTCGAATATTTACAGCATTATTTTATGTTATGGAATGGCAAGTTGAACGACCGACATTAGTTTCATTATCTCTCGTTGCGCGATATGACGGTTGCGCTCGACGCGACGTATCGCCGAAGAGTATCAATAACACACGTATAGCGAAATATTTATTTTAATCATCGTGCGCGCAAGCACGATTTTATTACACGAAAACACGCTCGATTTTCGCATGCACGATAAGCAAAACGTAATTACAATTTACAATACTCGGCATTGCGCAAAACTCTCGAACAATTTGTCGCTATAATTTATAAAAAACGATATTCTTTTTTATTTTTTTGTGTCGAGAAATTTTTATAATTGTGTTGATACTTTGATGTTTTTACAAAAGAAGAGCACAGCGCTGTTATAATATGCTAAATTTCGCTTAATAATTGTCGCGCAACGACGATTTTGAATAAAACATTTAAACGAACTCAGTGGCGAAACAGTGGCGACGGAACTTGCGGTAATTCGATGCGCAACTTTCATACTCGATTTCGGCGGTTCGTGAAGTAAGTTCCAAAATTTTAATATTCGACGTTTCATTATGCCAAGATATTCGATATAATGAATATTAAAAGGACAAACGCGCGATGATCCTTCTCAAATATTTTGCGAAAAAATTACACTTTGTACTCGTCAAAGAATGTCATAACGTGGGCGTGACGAAAAAGTTTTCAGATTCTCTATACTTTAATGCAATGCAGTTTAACTTTTCTCCGAGCGATCTATTTCTAAGCGCGTAGTAAAAACAATATTGTGTTCCTTTCCTTTGATAATTTTATTTCTAAAAAAAAAAGCCCCTGATTTTTTTAATTAAAACTTTATAAGCTGTCAAACAAAAATTCAATATTCGCCTGCTCTCCAAATATTGTCTGAGCTTTAATCGAAAGTATAACGCGAAGTTTCTTTCCGTTCGCAGATACGCCGAGTTTTTCCGAGCCGATCGGCAACAAGACCGCCGCCATTGGCAAAGAAGTCGCCCTCTCCTGCACTATCAAGAAAGTGGGAAATTACAAGGTAAGCAGTTGGCGAATTTTCGCAAGAAGAGACGCGACGCGCGATGCGGCGCCGCGCGCCGACGCTCGCTAAGAGAGTAAGCAGCGGAGCTGCTAATTAGCTCGGCTCCTCCTCGAGAGAGCCAAGGGAGGTAAGGATGAGGGAAACGCATAAGCGCGATAAGAGAAACTGCGAAATTCGGGTAATCCCGTGGAAATAAATGGATTGCTTCGAGCTGCTTCTGGCAGACGTCAGGGTGTCTTTTTGCACGGCACCGATTCGCCGTCCTTTCTTGTATTTTTTCGCGGGCGCGTTTCGCGAACCGAGAGTTTTCCGCTCGTACGCTCGAAATAAATCGAAAACACAATGCACATTGTTACGCGAAACGACAAGAAACGTGTTATACATGTTAATCTTCAGTAAAATAGCCGTATCAGAAAGTTGCAGCGTAAAATCCGCGGCGACTAAAAGAGATCGACCTTCCTTTGTCTCGAAAAAACGTGTTCTAATTCCGCAATGTATAAAAATGCAATGCATGTATAAAAAAAAAAAAAAAAAAAATGCATAAAACGAAAAATGTTTGCGTTATTTAGTTATGCAGAAACATTCAGTAGCGCCCTCGGGGAAAACTCTCTTCTCGCTCGTGTCTGCGTACATACAAGTTGCCTCGGGGTCAGTAAGATGAGCGGGGGCGGCTAATATCGAACGCCGAGAAGAACTTCGTGTAGTTTACGTTGAGACCCCACCGAGTAAAATGAGCTCGAGAAATAAATAGAGCGAAGAACAACGCGTATACTCTCGTGGCGATGCGATTCGCGCAATATGTGCTCACACACAATTTGCAACGCAAATACGTAGGTGGATATATTCAATGGCTCGTGCGTAAACGCCTGGTAGCGGCGCATGCAAACGTTTATTTTTCAGAGGATATCGGGAAATTGCCATTTCGTCCCGCGAGCTTTTCGCTATCAACCGCAGCATTGAACGCGCGCTTATAATGAATGTCACGCGCGAATCGATTAATTAGAGCTTTAAGTCAAACCACGTGCGCGCGCGCGCGATGGCAGATCGCGTTATAATCCGCCGTAAAACTCCAACGTGAATTTTTTTTTTTTTACCACGAAATATAATGCTTTGGCGTATGCGATTAAACGCGTTGAATGAAGCTCGCGCGCGTCATTATTTTGTGTTATTTTAGGTATCGGGGGTGCTTTTAACGCGCGACTCACACGCGTACGTGCGTGTGTGCGAAATAAACGCCTGTGAAATAAAATTCGATAACCGCGAATTTGTATGCGGTCGGATCGACTTTGCTCGGTCTGTAATCCCGAGTATAAATGCATCTTCGTCAATTGATCGCTAATTATATAGCCGCAGGTCGAAGCTTCTCTCTGTTGCGAGAGAATTTCGTGCAAATTTTTCGCCAATAATATTAAGTCAGTATCGGAAATGCAAACTAAAGCACAAAGCGGAAATAAAACACCGCAGGAAAACAGATAACATGAATTATTATAATCATTACCAAACTGCTTTCGTGCAATTATAAAAATACATACGCGTAACGCAATTTTATTTGCTTGAAAATATTCACATGCACTTAATAATATTACTAATGTAACATTGAAATAACAATCAAGCATGTACTTTTCGATATTTGCGATTAAAAAAAAATAGTAAAATATTTTTCACAAAGATACTAATAATATTATATAACAATACTATGTGCATATAAAAAGAATATATTACACGCGGAGGTAGAAAAAAAAAAGAGAGAAAAAAACAAAACGCGCGCACGACACAAATATAAATTAATTAATAAAGTTCTACAAAGAAACTTATTTCTATTCGTATCAAAAAACATAAAGCAACGTAAAATAATGAAGGCACGGCACGTGTAACAAATGTTGCAACAGCAACCAGTGAAATGAGTATAGAACAATTTTCTATTTGTAACAACGTTATATATAGATATAGGGGAGACCGGTACACAATGAGACACGGTACACAATGAGACACTCTATTTATAATAAGCAATAATTGGCAAAATCACTTTGTATTTTATTTTTTATATGTACTTTTTCATTCTTTACCGACGTATATGATTTTTGTTATTAAATA